ACTACTGGATCACTACGACAAGGTCCTAAATGCACTAGAAGACAAAAAGAATGCAGATGTAATATATACAGACTTTGCAAAAGCCTTCGACAAGTGTGACCATGGCGTAATAGCGCACATAATGCGTGCTAAAGGAATAACAGGAAAAGTCGGTCGATGGATCTATAATTTCCTCACTAACAGAACACAGAGAGAAGTCGCCAACAGAGTAAAGTCCGAGGCAGCTACGGTGAAAAGCTCTGTTCCACAACGCACAGTACTAGCTCCCATCTTGTTCCTCATCCTCATATGCGACATAGACAAGGATGTCAGCCACAGCACCGTGTCTTCCTTTGCAGATGACACCCGAATCTGCATGACAGTGTCTTCCATTGCAGACACTGCAAGGCTCCAGGCGGACATCAACCAAATCTTTCAGTGGGCTGCAGAAAACAATATGAAGTTCAACGATGAGAAATTTCAATTACTCAGGTATGGTAAACATGAGGAAATTAAATCTTCATCAGAGTACAAAACAAATTCTGGCCACAAAATAGAGCGAAACACCAACGTCAAAGACCTGGGAGTGATTATGTCGGAGGATCTCATCTTCAAGGACCATAACATTGTATCAATCGCATCTGCTAGAAAAATGACAGGATGGATAATGAGAACCTTCAAAACTAGGGAGGCCAAGCCCATGATGACACTCTTCAGGTCACTTGTTCTATCTATGCTGGAATATTGCTGCACACTAACAGCACCTTTCAAGGCAGGTGAAATTGCCGACCTAGAAAATGTACAGAGAACTTTCACGGCACGCATAACGGAGATAAAATACCTCAATTATTGGGAGCGCTTGAGGTTCCTAAACCTGTATTCCCTGGAACGCAGGAGGGAGAGATACATGATTATATACACCTGGAAAATCCTAGAGGGACTAGTACCGAACTTGCACACGAAAATCACTCACTACGAAAGCAAAAGACTTGGCAGACGATGCACCATAACCCCAATGAAAAGCAGGGGTGTCACTAGCACGTTAAGAGACCATACAATAAGTGTCAGGGGCCCGAGACTGTTCAACTGCCTCCCAGCACACATAAGGGGGATTACCAACAGACCCCTGGCAGTCTTCAAGCTGGCACTGGACAAGCACCTAAAGTCAGTTCCGGATCAGCCGGGCTGTGGCTCGTACGTTGGTTTGCGTGCAGCCAGCAGCAACAGCCTGGTTGATCAGGCGCTGATCCACCAGGAGGCCTGGTCACAGACCGGGCCGCGGGGGCGTTGACCCCCGAAACTCTCTCCAGGTAAACGCCAGGTAAACAATATCGTAAGCTTCTCCTTTCAACTGAGTTCTCAAGTAAGGTCGTCAATGTCCGAACAACTGTCAAGCTCACCAGAAATTCCTTGAAATCATGGACATCACGTATCAGAAGCTTTGTCTGCGGCCATCAGAGTAGCAATGGTTGCTGGAGGAAATTGTTTAATGGTTCCTGGAAGGTTGTAATGGAGGTGACCAGTTCACTGCTGTCATTCAGTTCAGTACTGTGTTCTGAGCTCATGAGATCTTCGAACTGTTAAAATGCGACGGTATAGACTTATTTCCTTGTCTCCAATAGATTCAAATTAGCCTCAAGCACAAGAAAGTCAACTGATTAATCCTGTATCAATGTCTCAAAGGCATTAATCGCTCTCGTGACGAGAGCTTGCTTCTGGGGTAAACTTTAGACTCGCAACGTGATAGTAACTGTTGTGATTGACAGGTTTATGGCTTTCGGCCAATAAAGGTGAACCAGGTGGGGCAGTACACGGGTGCTTGACCACCCTGTCAGTTCGGGCAGGCAGGGAAGTGCTCTCTACACTACAATAACTACGTTTCCTACATAGTACATGTGTCCCCAGTCTATTCCCACTGGGTTTTCTGCGACAAACTCTGGTTTAATCTGCAGAAACCCAGGTATATGAATGTGTTGTGAGTGTACCCAAGAGTCATGTGATATGGTGACATCAAAAGATGGCGTCATCAGCGTAGGCATAGTTACAGGTGGCGCTACTGTGGGTTAATGGCAGCTTTCCCAGAGGGTGCACCTGTTTCTCTCAAGGTTCAAACAGCCGCCATTTTTTAATTACACACAACGGCCATTGGAGGCAAGTCCGCCGATTGATTGTTACTGGCAACACAATGTGTAATAAGTTACTCCCACCGAACAAAGGGCTCTGTTGAGCATCTGTGTGTGTGATTAACAGTAAATAACAAAGCATCAATCGTCTGCAATGGCGATGCTACTCCTAGTCACTGGCACTACTTAGCTAGTCCTAGTGATTCTGTGGGAACAACAATGTAGAACCACCATCCGGTTCAAAGGACCAAAACTGTGCAGAATAGAGGTTGTCTGTGGGTTTATGACTGATTAGGTTAGTGATCCTTTTCAGGTCAATTATAAAATTCAGCCCAGGACCTGCTACCTCATCCTAGCTACTTGAATTAATTCTTTGTGCCTCTATATCTCACAGTGGGTAGTGTGATGTGATAGGTAGTTGCAACCGTAGATCTCTGGTGAAGGTGGTGGCCACCCCCTTTGCACGTGCTTTCAGTACTCTCGGGATACTCACGTAGAAAAGTGATAAGCCATGGTACACCTAGAAATACCTGTGTGAGTCACCTGCAGCAGTCTCTTAGTAAAGCTAGATATATCCTTTATACAAGGCCAATCACATGGGGAAGTTGCCCACTGATCACTATGGCTTTTTGTGACTGAGGGTAGTACACACAGCCAGTTCCTGCATCCCCGTGGGCACCCAAAACTGGCTACAGGGTACCTACTTTCTATTAGTGTACGTTGTGAGGCGTTGTAGTTTACTAACCTAAATTAAATCTCTCTAACCCTAGCTTAGGTTAAATACATATAAGTAGAACTGTATAATGCATTATCATGGGCTTCATTACAAATTAAGTCGTAAAAACAAAGATGGGTATAAAGAAATATGGCACCGTCATAGGCATGGTGGGCTGCTCAACCACCCTCCTTTTTTCCCCCAAATGGGGAAAAGTTTGTAAAATCTGGAAATTAAATGAGATTTTCCACCGCCTGGTCAAACAAAGAGCTCCTGGAGTTTAACCCCACCTAATGCAAAGTTATGAAGCTAGAGAATAACAAAGAAAAGTATAGACGGAGTACAGAATAGTTGGTTTAAGGCTGTAAACCTCACTGAAGGAAATGGATATTAGTAAGTACATTATACCGAGCACATTTCGTGAGGTGCATATCAGCCAAATAACCGCTGCAGTATATGGGGGTCCTGACAAACCTGAGAAAAACATTTCAACATTTAAGTAAGAGTCATTCACGACACTATACCGTGTACGTCAGGCCCATACTGGAGTAAGCAGCACCATTATGGAACCCACACTTGGTCAAAACATCAAGAAATTGGAGAAAGTGCAAAGAGTTGCAACAAGACTAGTCCCAGAGCCAACGGGTTTGTCTTATGAGGAGAGGTTAAGGGAACTCAACTTAATGACAATAGAGGATAGGGATGACATAATAACAATGTATAAAATACTGAGAATAATTGACAATGTGGACAGGGCTAGAATGATTCAGAAATGGAACACAGAAACAATGGGACACAACTAGAAGTTGAAAACTCAGAAGATAATAGGGATGTTAAGAAGTATTTCTTCAGCTTTCGAGTAGTCAGGAGGCTGAACAATCTGGAAAGTGAAGTAGTGGAGGCAGGATCCGTACATAGCTTCAAGAGGAGGTATGATAAGGTTCTTGAAGAAGAGAGATGTGACCTAGCAGTGACTAGCGAATAGGCGACCCATTCAACCACACATAGGTGAGTATAGGAAAGAGAGACAGGACATGCATTAACAGGCATGGAAGCTCAGCTTAGGATGGACCACCAAACACAACCGCCTACTTATCCCCATCAATTTCTAGACCCCACCCTCCCAACCAAGCACAATAACCCAAAAGAAACCATACTCCACATCCAGAGTCCCCACTACAGGAGGCAGTAGACATGTGCATCACGCCATCCATACCCCAAGCCACACCAACCCTTTCCACTCCCCCTCACCCATGGGCAAAGACCAGGGATCCAAGAACTAACCAACCAGAATACAGCAATGGAAAAGAAGCTGAAGGCATGGTACACCAACACATATGGAATACAAATAAGAATGAGGATTGGCATGAACGAAAATTGGAGGCATCCCCAGAGATTATAGCACTCACAGACACAGAACTTACAGAGATAACCAACTTGATCTTCTCAACTGCCTATAAGGTCATGAGGAAAAAATAGAGGCATTATTGCTTATCAAAAACCAGTTGAGTTTTGAGGAGATGGGAAGAATGGACACAGGGAAAGCAGATGACTACATAGCAGGAACACTTCCGACCAAATGTCCCGAGTGTAGTATAACCACTCACTGAATAGCAAGAATCCATGAAAAAAGTGTAATGACAGCAACAGAGCAATTGTGGATATACTAGCTGAGGTGGCCAAAAGGGCCCCTCATAGGAAGAGTAGATCATAGGAGATTTTAACCACAAGGAGACTGACTTGGAAAAGCCTAAAGCTTCATGGAGAACCAGAAACGTGGAGGGCTAAGATTGTGGAGGTGGTATTTGAAAACATCATGCATCAATATGTTAATCATATGATCAGAGAGTGAAGAGGATAAACCCGCAAGGCTGAACCTCGTATTCACCCTGAGTAGTTCCTTCACAGAGGATATTAAATACGAAAGGCCCATCGGCGCTAGTGAGTTTTGAATAGCTTGTAGCATGGAAAGGAGGAAAGCATCCAAACTTCAAAAGAAGGGACTGTGTCATCGGCAAAGAGCAACAACGGCTCATGAAATTTTCAGACATTGTTTCGTGTAAATTCTTTACAGGCAGCAGTTTACAGACTTCTTTCTTTATAATATGTGAAATAAAATAATTTATTACTGATAACCCTTCACTATGTTTTAAATACTAATTGCTTTTGTTTCTGGCAACTAGAGCACTGGACTTCTGCTACCACGAGGAATCAGATTCGGTGACACTACTGGAGGCAGTAGACATGTGTGTCACTGTTGTTGCTTACTCTGCCGACTCCAAGAGAGGTCATCAGATGCTGGTAAGAACTACAAAGTGTTTACCTTCTTTTGTTTCTTTATATTTTCATTCACTTGGATTCCTAACATTTGCACAACCCAGGGCAACATGCTTTTAGAGCAGGTCGCTCCTGTCACTCGCAACTACTGATTCACTGTGACATGGTCTTTGATGTACTGGAGGACAAACAGAATGCAGATGTAGCATACACATACATTATAACAGCCATTGACTAGTGCAATTATGGTGTAAGAGCGCATAAAATGTGTGATAAAGAAATAAATGGACAAGTTCGCAAATGGATCTTCAACTTTCTAACCAATAATTCACAAAGGGTAATCATAAGCAGATTTTAAGTCATAAGCTGCCACAGTGTTCATCATCCTCACATCAAACATAGACAGAAAATGTAAACCATAGCACCGTGTCTTCTTATAGAGACTATACTAGAATTTGCATGAGGCTGTCATCCATTGAGGACACGGCAAATCTCTAAGAAGATATTAATCAAGTTTTCTGATGGGTCACGGAAAACAGTATGATGTTTAATGATGACAAATTTCAGTTACTCCATTACAGAAAACTTTAGAAAATTATAGCTAAGTATGAATACACTACAAATTCTCAACACAACTGAGCAAAAAACCAATTTCAAGGATATATGAGTATTAATGTCAGAGGATTTCACCATCAAAGATCACAACAGTGTCAAAACAAGGGATGCTGTGCTAAAGATTATCCTTTTTAGGTCACTTGTTCTCTCTAGGCTGGAATACTGCTGTACACTGACAGCCCCATCGAGGAAGGTGGAATCGCAGATCTAGAGAATGTACAGAGAACCTTCATTGCCCATTTATATTCACACAAGCACCTTAGTTACTGGGAATGTTTAAAGTTCTTTGACCTGTACTCAGTGGAACACAGGCAAGAAAAATACATGACAATCTACATTTGGAAAAACCTAGAGGGACTAGTTCCAAATCTGCGCACAGAAATCGCTCCCTACTAGGCACATGGTGCAACATATCCCAAATGAAAAGCAGAGGTGCCATGAGGACCCAAAGAGAAAACACAGTAAGTATCCGGGGCCCAAAAACTGTTCTAGTCTCCCACCATACACGAAGAAAATTAGCAATAGACTCATGGCTGTCTTGAAAAGGAAACTGGACAGATGTCTATAGTTGGTGCCCGAGCAGCCGGGTTGTGGATCACACGATGGATTGGGTATGGCCAGCATTAACTGTCTGGTTGATCAAAACCCTTTTCCACCAGGAGGCCTGGTCAAACACTGGGGAGGGGGGGGGAGTCGTCGACCCTCGGAGCACCTTCTAGGTAGACCACTGCTTCACCCCACCTGACTCCAGTATATAAACTCCTTCTCCAAGCATATACTGTACTTTAATCAAGATTGATGGACAAAATACAACGACTCAAGGCTGAGGGACTGATTACCTCAAACACATCCTCATCTTCCATCAATCTCTGTATTGGAGTGAAGAAGCCACTGGGTGGTGAAACGTTTCCAAAATAAAGTTACTAAAATGTTTTAAAAATGTCTTATTAACATGGTGGCTAAAGAAGAGCATTTAACTAGTTTGTTTAATACACTTACTAATTTTAAAATAAAATATGAATGCTATTATAGAATTTAATTATTGCTGGGAAATTAATGTGAAGTTTGTATTGTCCAGAAACAGTGTAAAAAAAAAACATGGGGAATCTGTACTTTTGATTAAGATTGTGAAAGAGTTTAGCAACTCAGAGACTTACATTGTCTAAAATAAAACAAATTAGGAAATACTAATATATACGTGAGTTTATGTGAGGTTGTATGTACATACGAGGACTAAGAGAGAGGTAAAGTGGTAATATTATAAGAATTCTCTAAATAAAAACATGGAGAAGTGTTTATGAGAGAAAGTATGGAGATGCACTGGGAAACAGAGCACAAGAGTTGGAGTCCAACTAATATATGAAACCTGTGAGATGCAGGTGTATTTTATAACTTCCCGTCCGTCTCCCACTCAGGCAGGGTCAAGCCAGAAAGAAATAACTTAAGTTTTCCTTTTATATTTAGTAATATAGTATACTGGAGAAGGGGTTACTAGCCCCTTGCTCCCGTTATTTTAGTCACCCTTTATAACACGTATGACTTACACATGAACACATATATGTATGCACACTCAGATGTGTGTGCATACATATATTATCTGGAGTTTACCTGCAGAGAGTTCCGGGAGTCAACGCCCCCGCGGCCCGGTCTGTGACCAGGCCTCATGGTGGATCAGAGCCTTATCAACCAGGCTGTTACTGCTGGCTGCATGCAATCCAACGTACGAGCCACAGCCAGGCTGGTCAGGTACCGACTTTAGGTGCTTGTCAAGTGCCTGCTTGAAGACAGCCAGGGTTCTATTGGTAATCCCCCTTATGTATGCTGGGAGGCAGTTGAACAGTCTGGGGCCCCTGACACTTATTGTGTTGTCTCTTAACGTGCTAGTGACGCCCTTGCTTTTCGTTGGGGGGGATGTTGCATTGTCTGCCGAGTCTTTTGCTTTCGTAGTGAGTGATTTTCGTGTGCAGGTTCGGTACTAGTCCCTCTAGGATTTTCCAAGTGTATATAATCATGTATCTCTCCCGCCTGCGTTCTAGGGAGTACAGGTTCAGGAACCTCAAGCGCTCCCAGTAATTGAGGTGTTTTATCTCCGTTATGCGCGCCGTGAAGGTTCTCTGTACATTTTCTAGGTCAGCAATTTCACCTGCCTTGAAAGGTGCTGTTAGTGTGCAGCAATATTCCAGCCTAGATAGAACAAGCGACCTGAATCGTGTCATCATGGGCTTGGCATCCCTAGTTTTGAAGGTTCTCATTATCCATCCTGTCATTTTTCTAGCAGATGCGATTGATACAATGTTATGGTCCTTGAAGGTGAGGTCATCCTACATGATCACTCCCAGGTCTTTGACGTTAGTTTTTCGCTCTATTTTGTGGCTGTAATTTGTTTTATACTCTGATGAAGTTTTAATTTCCTCATGTTTACCATATCGGAGTAATTGAAATTGAGATGTGTACATGCATGTGTAGTGAGGCCTAAACGTCAATAGTAATAGAAAGATGTCCCGTGGCCTGGTAGGCAATGCTTTCGTTTTACACACTGAGTGTTCGTGATTCGATCCCTGGCCTGTATACTGGGCGTATTGCTTTACACTTGCTGTCCTCATTCACCTAGCAAGCAAGTATGTACTTGGGTGCTAGTGGACTCGTGTGGGTCGCATCCTGGGTGACAAATTTAAGGACCCCAGTGGAATTAAGACAGACAGTCCAAGATGACGCACTGACTTTCATGAGTTATCCTGGGTGGCTAACCCTCCGCGGTTAAAAATCCGAACAAAATCTTATCTCTTGTCTTTCCTGTTATTTTTCGTGTTTATGTGAGAGAATAAAAGGACACCAACATTCCTACCATTGTGGAAGACAGTTACAAATTTACTTTTCACAGTCACTTGGCAGGTCTAGATATAATTAATAAATAATGAAAATTTGTTAAATCTTACTTTCGAAGAAAATTTTGTTAGCTAAATAAATAAAGTAGAAGGCAAGATAAATAAATAAATTAAATAAATGTTATAAGAGAATGTGAGTCACAGGTTTATTGAATAGGACTGAATATTGCTGTTCAGTTCCTGAAAGATGTGTCAATGTGACTGATAGACTATGAAGGCCAGGAAGATAAGTGTGCGTAGCACAGGTACATAGCAGAGGTAGCAGATGGCGTAGCCAGGTGCTGTGTGGTGATTAACAGTAAATAACAAAGCATCAATCGTCTGCAATGGCGATGCTACTCCTAGTCACTGGCACTACTAGCTAGTCCTAGTGATTCTGTGGGAACAACAATGTAGAACCACCATCCGGTTCAAAGGACCAAACTGTGCAGAATAGAGGTTGTCTGTGGGTTTATGACTGATTAGGTTAGTGATCCTTTTCAGGTCAATTATAAAATTCAGCCCAGGACCTGCTACCTCATCCTAGCTACTTGAATTAATTCTTTGTGCCTCTATATCTCACAGTGGGTAGTGTGATGTGATAGGTAGTTGCAACCGTAGATCTCTGGTGAAGGTGGTGGCCACCCCCTTTGCACGTGCTTTCAGTACTCTCGGGATACTCACGTAGAAAAGTGATAAGCCATGGTACACCTAGAAATACCTGTGTGAGTCACCTGCAGCAGTCTCTTAGTAAAGCTAGATATATCCTTTATACAAGGCCAATCACATGGGGAAGTTGCCCACTGATCACTATGGCTTTTTGTGACTGAGGGTAGTACACACAGCCAGTTCCTGCATCCCCGTGGGCACCCAAAACTGGCTACAGGGTACCTACTTTCTATTAGTGTACGTTGTGAGGCGTTGTAGTTTACTAACCTAAATTAAATCTCTCTAACCCTAGCTTAGGTTAAATACATATAAGTAGAACTGTATAATGCATTATCATGGGCTTCATTACAAATTAAGTCGTAAAAACAAAGATGGGTATAAAGAAATATGGCACCGTCATAGGCATGGTGGGCTGCTCAACCACCCTCCTTTTTTCCCCCAAATGGGGAAAAGTTTGTAAAATCTGGAAATTAAATGAGATTTTCCACCGCCTGGTCAAACAAAGAGCTCCTGGAGTTTAACCCCACCTAATGCAAAGTTATGAAGCTAGAGAATAACAAAGAAAAGTATAGACGGAGTACAGAATAGTTGGTTTAAGGCTGTAAACCTCACTGAAGGAAATGGATATTAGTAAGTACATTATACCGAGCACATTTCGTGAGGTGCATATCAGCCAAATAACCGCTGCAGTATATGGGGGTCCTGACAAACCTGAGAAAAACATTTCAACATTTAAGTAAGAGTCATTCACGACACTATACCGTGTACGTCAGGCCCATACTGGAGTAAGCAGCACCATTATGGAACCCACACTTGGTCAAAACATCAAGAAATTGGAGAAAGTGCAAAGAGTTGCAACAAGACTAGTCCCAGAGCCAACGGGTTTGTCTTATGAGGAGAGGTTAAGGGAACTCAACTTAATGACAATAGAGGATAGGGATGACATAATAACAATGTATAAAATACTGAGAATAATTGACAATGTGGACAGGGCTAGAATGATTCAGAAATGGAACACAGAAACAATGGGACACAACTAGAAGTTGAAAACTCAGAAGATAATAGGGATGTTAAGAAGTATTTCTTCAGCTTTCGAGTAGTCAGGAGGCTGAACAATCTGGAAAGTGAAGTAGTGGAGGCAGGATCCGTACATAGCTTCAAGAGGAGGTATGATAAGGTTCTTGAAGAAGAGAGATGTGACCTAGCAGTGACTAGCGAATAGGCGACCCATTCAACCACACATAGGTGAGTATAGGAAAGAGAGACAGGACATGCATTAACAGGCATGGAAGCTCAGCTTAGGATGGACCACCAAACACAACCGCCTACTTATCCCCATCAATTTCTAGACCCCACCCTCCCAACCAAGCACAATAACCCAAAAGAAACCATACTCCACATCCAGAGTCCCCACTACAGGAGGCAGTAGACATGTGCATCACGCCATCCATACCCCAAGCCACACCAACCCTTTCCACTCCCCCTCACCCATGGGCAAAGACCAGGGATCCAAGAACTAACCAACCAGAATACAGCAATGGAAAAGAAGCTGAAGGCATGGTACACCAACACATATGGAATACAAATAAGAATGAGGATTGGCATGAACGAAAATTGGAGGCATCCCCAGAGATTATAGCACTCACAGACACAGAACTTACAGAGATAACCAACTTGATCTTTCAACTGCCTATAAGGTCATGAGGAAAAAATAGAGGCATTATTGCTTATCAAAAACCAGTTGAGTTTTGAGGAGATGGGAAGAATGGACACAGGGAAAGCAGATGACTACATAGCAGGAACACTTCCGACCAAATGTCCCGAGTGTAGTATAACCACTCACTGAATAGCAAGAATCCATGAAAAAAGTGTAATGACAGCAACAGAGCAATTGTGGATATACTAGCTGAGGTGGCCAAAAGGGCCCCTCATAGGAAGAGTAGATCATAGGAGATTTTAACCACAAGGAGACTGACTTGGAAAAGCCTAAAGCTTCATGGAGAACCAGAAACGTGGAGGGCTAAGATTGTGGAGGTGGTATTTGAAAACATCATGCATCAATATGTTAATCATATGATCAGAGAGTGAAGAGGATAAACCCGCAAGGCTGAACCTCGTATTCACCCTGAGTAGTTCCTTCACAGAGGATATTAAATACGAAAGGCCCATCGGCGCTAGTGAGTTTTGAATAGCTTGTAGCATGGAAAGGAGGAAAGCATCCAAACTTCAAAAGAAGGGACTGTGTCATCGGCAAAGAGCAACAACGGCTCATGAAATTTTCAGACATGTTTCGTGTAATTCTTTACAGGCAGCAGTTTACAGACTTCTTTCTTTATAATATGTGAAATAAAATAATTTATTACTGATAACCCTTCACTATGTTTTAAATACTAATTGCTTTTGTTTCTGGCAACTAGAGCACTGGACTTCTGCTACCACGAGGAATCAGATTCGGTGACACTACTGGAGGCAGTAGACATGTGTGTCACTGTTGTTGCTTACTCTGCCGACTCCAAGAGAGGTCATCAGATGCTGGTAAGAACTACAAAGTGTTTACCTTCTTTTGTTTCTTTATATTTTCATTCACTTGGATTCCTAACATTTGCACAACCCAGGGCAACATGCTTTTAGAGCAGGTCGCTCCTGTCACTCGCAACTACTGATTCACTGTGACATGGTCTTTGATGTACTGGAGGACAAACAGAATGCAGATGTAGCATACACATACATTATAACAGCCATTGACTAGTGCAATTATGGTGTAAGAGCGCATCAAATGTGTGATAAAGAAATAAATGGACAAGTTCGCAAATGGATCTTCAACTTCTAACCAATAATTCACATAAGCAGATTTTAAGTCATAAGCTGCGACAGTGTTCATCATCCTCATATCAAACATAGACAGAAAATGTAAACCATAGCACCGTGTCTTCTTATAGAGACTATACTAGAATTTGCATGAGGCTGTCATCCATTGAGGACACGGCAAATCTCTAAGAAGATATAAACCAAGTTTTCCGATGGGTCACGGAAAACAGTATGATGTTTAATGATGACAAATTTCAGTTACTCCATTACAGAAAACTTTAGAAAATTATAGCTAAGTATGGAATACACTACAAATTCTCAACACAACTGAGCAAAAAACCAATTTCAAGGATATATGAGTATTAATGTCAGAGGATTTCACCATCAAAGATCACAACAGTGTCAAAACAAGGGATGCTGTGCTAAAGATTATCCTTTTTAGGTCACTTGTTCTCTCTAGGCTGGAATACTGCTGTACACTGACAGCCCCATCGAGGAAGGTGGAATCGCAGATCTAGAGAATGTACAGAGAACCTTCATTGCCCATTTATATTCACACAAGCACCTTAGTTACTGGGAATGTTTAAAGTTCTTTGACCTGTACTCAGTGGAACACAGGCAAGAAAAATACATGACAATCTACATTTGGAAAAACCTAGAGGGACTAGTTCCAAATCTGCGCACAGAAATCGCTCCCTACTAGGCACATGGTGCAACATATCCCAAATGAAAAGCAGAGGTGCCTTTGAGGACCCAAAGAGAAAACACAGTAAGTATCCGGGGCCCAAAAACTGTTCTAGTCTCCCACCATACACGAAGAAAATTAGCAATAGACTCATGGCTGTCTTGAAAAGGAAACTGGACAGATGTCTATAGTTGGTGCCCGAGCAGCCGGGTTGTGGATCACACGATGGATTGGGTATGGCCAGCATTAACTGTCTGGTTGATCAAAACCCTTTTCCACCAGGAGGCCTGGTCAAAACACTGGGGAGGGGGGGGAGTCTCGTCGACCCTGGGAGCACCTTCTAGGTAGACCACTGCTTCACCCCACCTGACTCCATTTATATAAACTCCTTCTCCAAGCATATACTGTACTTTAATCAAGATTGATGGACAAAATACAACGACTCAAGGCTGAGGGACTGATTACCTCAAACAATCCTCATCTTCCATCAATCTCTGTATTGGAGTGAAGAAGCCACTGGGTGGTGAAAACGTTTCCAAAATAAAGTTACTAAAATGTTTTAAAAATGTCTTATTACATGGTGCTAAAGAAGAGCATTTAACTAGTTTGTTTAATACACTTACTAATTTTAAAATAAAATATGAATGCTATTATAGAATTTAATTATTGCTGGGAAATTAATGTGAAGTTTGTATTGTCCAGAAACAGTGTAAAAAAAAACATGGGGAATCTGTACTTTTGATTAAGATTGTGAAAGAGTTTAGCAACTCAGAGACTTACATTGTCTAAAAAAAACAATTAGGAAATACAGATATATACGTGAGTTTATGTGAGGTTGTATGTACATACGAGGACTAAGAGAGAGGTAAAGTGGTAATATTATAAGAATTCTCTAAATAAAAACATGGAGAAGTTTGTATGAGAGAAAGTATGGAGATGCACTGGGAAACAGAGCACAAGAGTTGGAGTCCAACTAATATATGAAACCTGTGAGATGCAGGTGTATTTTATAACTTCCCGTCCGTCTCCCACTCAGGCAGGGTCAAGCCAGAAAGAAATAACTTAAGTTTTCCTTTTATATTTGGTAATATAGTACACTGGAGAAGGGGTTACTAGCCCCTTGCTCCCGTTATTTTAGTCACTCTTTATAACACGTATGACTTACACATGAACACATATATGTATGCACACTCAGATGTGTGTGCATACATATATTATCTGGAGTTTACCTGCAGAGAGTTCCGGGAGTCAACGCCCCGCGGCCCGGTCTGTGACCAGGCCTCATGGTGGATCAGAGCCTTATCAACCAGGCTGTTACTGCTGGCTGCATGCAATCCAACGTACGAGCCACAGCCAGGACTGGTCAGGTACGACTTTAGGTGCTTGTCAAGTGCCTGCTTGAAGACAGCCAGGGTTTTATTGGTAATCCCCCTTATGTATGCTGGGAGGCAGTTGAACAGTCTGGGGCCCCTGACACTTATTGTGTTGTCTCTTAACGTGCTAGTGACGCCCTTGCTTTTCATTGGGGGGGATGTTGCATTGTCTGCCGAGTCTTTTGCTTTCGTAGTGAGTGATTTTCGTGTGCAGGTTCGGTACTAGTCCCTCTAGGATTTTCCAAGTGTATATAATCATGTATCTCTCCCGCCTGCGTTCTAGGGAGTACAGGTTCAGGAACCTCAAGCGCTCCCAGTAATTGAGGTGTTTTATCTCCGTTATGCGCGCCGTGAAGGTTCTCTGTACATTTTCTAGGTCAGCAATTTCACCTGCCTTGAAAGGTGCTGTTAGTGTGCAGCAATATTCCAGCCTAGATAGAACAAGCGACCTGAATCGTGTCATCATGGGCTTGGCATCCCTAGTTTTGAAGGTTCTCATTATCCATCCTGTCATTTTTCTAGCAGATGCGATTGATACAATGTTATGGTCCTTGAAGGTGAGGTCATCCTACATGATCACTCCCAGGTCTTTGACGTTAGTTTTTCGCTCTATTTTGTGGCTGTAATTTGTTTTATACTCTGATGAAGTTTTAATTTCCTCATGTTTACCATATCGGAGTAATTGAAATTGAGATGTGTACATGCATGTGTAGTGAGGCCTAAACGTCAATAGTAATAGAAAGATGTCCCGTGGCCTGGTAGGCAATGCTTTCGTTTTACACACTGAGTGTTCGTGATTCGATCCCCGGGCCCGTATACGGGCGTAAATTTCTTAACTTGCGGGCCCCATTCCCCCTTTGCAACAAGTATGTACCTTTGGGGGGCTAGTGGACTCGTTGGGTCGCATCCTGGGTACAATTTAAGGGCCCCCGTGGGGGAAATTTAAAACCGACAGTCCAAAAATGACGCACTGACTTTCTTTAAAATTTTTTCCGGGGGCAAAACCCTTTTCCCCGGTTAAAAAAAACCGAACAAAATCTTTTCTTGTTTTTTCCCGTTATTTTTTCGTGTTATGGAGAAAAATTAAAAAGGGCAACCAAAAATTCCTACCCCTTGGGAAAACAGTTACAAATTTTCTTTTCACAGTACTTGGCAGGGCTAGATATAATTAATAAATAATGAAAAAATTTTTTAAATCTTACTTTTGAAGAAAATTTTTTTAGCTAAATAAATAAAGTAGAAGGGAAGATAAATAAATAAATTAAATTTAAAAGTTAAAAAGAGAAAAAGTCACAGGTTTTTGAATAGGACTGAATATTGCTGTTCAGTTCCTGAAAGATGTGTTTTAATGTGACTGATGGGGCTTGAAGGCCGGAAAATAATGTGGTAGCAAGGTACATAGGAGGTAGCAAAATGTAGCGTGAAAAAGGGACATAGCAGAGGTACCCAAAGTTTGCGTAAACACAGGTACTAGCAGAGGGCAGATGTAGCGTAGCACAGGTAATTCCCGAGGTAGCAGATGTAGGTTGCACAGGTACTAGCGAGGTAGCAATGTAGGTAGCACGGTACATAGCAGAGGTTTTCAGATGAAGCGGAGCACAGGGACAAAGCAGAGGGAGCAGATTTAGCGTAGCACAGGTTCTTAAACCCGAGGGAGCAGAGTAGCGTAGCACAAAGGGACATAGCAGAGGGAGCAGAGGGAGCATTTGCACAAAGGGACATAGCGAGGTAACAAAGTAGCGTGCACGGTAAAATAGCGAGGGGAGCAGATGTAGCGTAGCACAGGGAAAAGCAGAGGAGCAGATGTAGCGGGGAAAAGGTACATAGCAGAGGTAACAGATGTAGCCCTACACAGGTACATAGCAGAGGTTTTAGATTAGCGTAGCACAGGTACATAGCCAAAGGGACAGATGTAGGGGTTGCACAGGGAAAATTGCAAGGTAGTTAAGGGAGCGTAGCACAGGTACATAGCAGAGGGAGCAGATGTAGGTAGCCAGGGACATTGCAGAGGTAGCAAAATGTAGCGTAGCAAGGGACATAGCAAGGTAGCAGATGTTTTGGTGCACAGGTAATAACAATTTTTAATGGTGTTGCGTACCAGGGGACATTTGCAAGGTAGCAGATGTAGCGAGCACAGGTACATAGCAGAGGGAAACAGATGTAGCGTAAACCAGGTACATAGCAGAGGAGTAGAAAGTAGCTAGCACAGGGACATAAACGAGGTAGAGATGTAGCGTTGCACAAATACAAAAACAGAGGTATTTGATGTAGGTAAACACAGGTTTCCCTACAAAGGGAGCAGATGTAGCGTAGCCAGGGACATTTCAGAGGTAAACAGATGTTGCGTAGCACAGGTACATAGAAAAGGTAGCAATGTAGCGTGCACAAAATACTAGCCCGAGGGAGTAGTTTTAGGTGCCAAATTTCATAGCAGAGGTGTAGAGTTTGCGTTTGCACAAAGGGACATAAAAACAGAGGAGGGAGTTAGCGTAGCACAGGTTACATAGCAGAGGGGAGCAGATGTAGCGTAGCACAGGTTTTCATAGCGAGGTACAGATGTAGGTAGCACAGGTACATAGCAGAGGTAGCAGATGTAGCGTAGCACAGGTACATAGCAGAGGGGGAGTAGATGTAAACGTGCCAAAGGGACATAGAAAAGGGATTTGTGT